TTAAAAAAAAAATTGACAACAATGATGCGCTTACTGTGATATATGTTGTAATAATTATTTCAAAATAATGATAAATTAAAAATAAAAGCTTTAAATAGTACTAAATTGAATAGGAATACCAAATTAAAAGTTACTAGTACGATAATGTAATAATATATTTATAATATTACGTAATATTATGATCTTACAATCATAACCTATTATTATATGATTGATTTTTTAATTCAAAGTCTATCCATAAGGTTATATAGGAGTATATTTATTTTTTTTAATACTTCTTCCAATTTGATTTGTTTGTCTCACTTTCTAAATAGAGATAATATGATTAATTATCTCACTTTTTATTTTAATAATATATTAAATATTGCATCTACGTCTCACGGTCCAACGGTCATAGGTCGGCTTGTAAAGTACATCCTCCCAACCCGAAGATTGGGATTCGATTCTCCCCTCCCCTATATTTGTAACCCTATTAAAAAAAATATTAATATTTCAATTTTAATTTTATCTCAAAGAAGATAAAAATATCTTAAGATCTTTTTATATAATTATACCATGTAAATAAGAGTCAAAATAAAAAATAAATCATAATTACTATAAGAGAACTCTTGGATAAAACAATTAGTAGCTCCCCGCATAGGAGTACTCATAGGCCTCGAGTTCGAGGCCATCCCCTTCCCAGCCCCTTGGTAACATGATCAAAAAAAAAAATCATAATTACTATAATATATAAATTTCTTATTAATCATAAACAAATATAATGAAACAATTAAATCCTGCTCATAAAAAGTAACAGATCATGATTGTACAGCATGGGTGATGCTATTATGATAATTTTTTTTGTTTTATTTTTTTATATAATTTTTATATGTTATTAAATAAATATATATTTAATATTATAAATTTTATATAAATTAAAAAATTAATTATTTTATGCACCTAGCCTTCTGACCTAGTAGCAACTGCTACAATTAAAGGTGCATCCCCTCCCCTGAGTGGATTCGACCCACCCCATGATCATTGTTCAAAAAAATAATAATAATAACACATCAAATTATATAAAAAAATTAAAAAAAATGATTATCCAATAGCATCTTCCGTAGAGCACCACCAGTACAATAAATTAGGTAGAATTTGATCTTGTTTTGGACCAGGAAATGGATAACACCAAACTGGTGAAGCTGTCATCACCACCACGTGGCAACCAATTCTCTTTCCTTTTTTTTTTTTTTTTTGGATGAAAATGTGGCGACACGGTCCCGTGGAAGTAGTAAGCAACTCACCAACCCCATTCCTGTGGCGGTAATTATTCCAGTCCAGATAATTATCCCCT